ACTAAATACATATTTATCCAGATAAATTAGTCAAATCTTTAAGGCTCTGTTTCAATTCTCTAACAGTCTGATTTCTTTTTCTGTAAAATCCTCATAAATGATTGGTTTTATTTTCCACATATTTGCTCTTCACACAATGACCCTCACTTCCTGCTCACTAAGGTTTCCTTTTAGACAGCATGTGTTTCCTCTTCCTGCTCTTCCAGCTGTCCTTGCAGGAGGTCCTGAGCGGCGCTGTGGAACTGGCAGAGGAGGGGTTTCCTGTTTCAGAGGTAGCAGCGCACTACTGGGAGAAGTGGACCACTGCTCTGAGGAGCGATGGGAAAGCCCTTGGCGAGGACTTACTGACTGACAGTCGTCCGCCCAGATGTGGACAAGTTTTCAAAAACCCATCATTGGCTCAAACCATAAAGGTAAAAAAAAACCAGACTAAAAACATGCTTATATGTGTATAACTCTAGGACTTTTAGTTTTTATTCAACGTTTATTTAACATTGTCAAAGACAAAACAGACACACTAATTATACCATAGACTCTTCAACAAGGGAGCAGTGACAAAAGGAATGCCAGACCCAGTCTGATGAAGATCTATGAGCTGCACTTTAATCGGTTTTAATGGACATAGTTTCCATTCAGTGACCTACAGGATTTAAAATATTTACTACCAGTTCTTTGTTGGCAGACACCAGTGGAAATTTTCAATTTACGTGTCCTTGCCCTGATGGGCCATCATAGGTGTCTTTAAAAGAGGCATGTTTTTTTAMATCCTTATTTTTCACTTTCAAATCWTTCAGTTGGKGTCTATATAAAGTGGAACTAAAACACTTTGGTCTGAATTCCTCCTTATTGCAACTCCACAAGCCCCGCCCCTTTTCTGAGGTGTGTCTTAGATAACTGGTTTTGAGTCTGTCTCTTTAAATCCAGTTGAGACCCTTCACACCTTGCCCCCCTCCAGTCTCCAGAGCGGTCCATTCTAGCTTGATAGAAGGGGGTTTGAAACTATATAGCAGTGCAGAAACATTTTATTTACAATTTAATTAAAAGATATGAACCAGGGAAGACTTGTTGATCCAGTCTTACATGTTGGAGCCAGAGTCTGACTCAGAGCCRGAGGAGAATGAAGACCACCAAATGAGTTGGTGAGTCCAGACCTTATTTGTCAGTTCCGTTCCAAATATTGTAATGTAATACACTGCCTGGACATAAAAAAAAAGTTGTGTCCACCTGGTTTTAACTAAGGTCTATGATGTGGGGTTGCTGCAGTTGGTCAGGTCTAGGTTCAGGTGCTCAAAGAATGATTTCGGCTGACTACCTGAATATACTGAATTRCCAGGTTATTCCATCAATGGATTGTTTCTTTGCATGAACATTGCAGAAGCTTATTGAAACAATGCCACAGCGAATGAGTGCCGTAATCAAAGCTAAAGGCGGTCCAACGAAATATTAGAGTGTGGGACCTTTTTTTAATTTTGGTGGCGACTTTTTTTTTGCTCAGGCAGTTTATTTCAGAAAACTTAATAGAAAATAAYGAAAACTGAACAGGTTGAAAAATATGAACCAAACAATAAAAAAATATCTACGCAGCACTGGGAGAGACTGAATTTAAATTTTCTGCAATCCTAGAGACCCCAAGTTAACAATAAAATGCATTTAACAGCTAAAAAGGGGATTTTGCATATGTCCCCTTTAATAAAATGTTGCCAAAATCCTATAAAAATCTTTAAAACACAATTTAAATGACAACCTGACATCAGATTTTGTCAATAACGCTTTGACCTCCAGCTACCAAATAAAACTTACATTGAAAACTCAACATTCCTGTTGATTATATGAACTCTTAATAGGGGTGCAACGATACAGAAAATTCACGATTCGGTTCGGTTCAGTACTGTAGTCTCACAGTTCGATATTTTCTTGATACAAAACAGAAAAATTTCCATGCTCCTTTTAACTTGTAATTTATTTAAATTAAGTACGAACATTTGTTTAACCTCAAAAGTACAGTTTTTAAATTAAATGTTGCTGAAACAGCAAGTTTCTCAGTGGATCTGCGCTCGACAATGCAGCCTAGGTGGAGTAGTCGAACACAGATCCACTGATCCTTCAACACAGAGCATCTTCAGAAGACAAGTTGATAAAATAAATTTAAAATATCTGTACTGTTCGATACAAGTGTGTATTGAACCTAAAGCACTGTACTGAACGGTTCGATACGGGTACATTTATTATTGCACCCCTAACTCTTAACTATGATTGTGAACATGTTTGTGGTAGGGCTGGGCGGTACGACCTCAACATTATATCACGGTATAAATTGATTCCTTTCACTGTAATGGTATATATCGCGATAGAAAATTATCATAAAAAGCAAAAATAATGTAATTTTTAGAGCAATTATTTATCAGAAAGCTGTAATCATAATCAAACCCAGTATTTTTGCTATAGTGCAAATGAACACAACAGAAGTACAAAAGAATGTTTTATATATACAGTATTGGAAAAAAGTTTCAACAACAAACAAAAACATTTCTCAAATTTTCAACAATATCAAGATAAAGTGAATGTTATAACCATTACTTCAAGTAAAATGAGTCATTTAGACATAAAAAAAATTCCAAGTTGGCATAAGTTGACTAAAATGTTATAGTGTGACAGGACCTGAAGGGGCTTAAACTGCACATAGTCCTGTCATAAAACAATTTCAGATAACTGGAATGTAAGCATGGTGAAGCCAAATAAATGCAATATCTGCCTGCCACACAATGAGCTTCTGCCTGCTGAACTGACCCGCTGCTCTGCTGCTCTCAGAGCAGAAGATGAACTGACTGAACGAACGTCCACACCTTTCCTTRTCATCTCTGTGGCCAACAATAAGTAAAAAACAAGTTTTTTCTCTGACAACTTGGGTGTAAAGCTTCTCTGCGCCACGTGCAGCAGGAGGGAGAGGGAGGAAATGATTCTGCGACACGACGGCACAAAATTTTGAGGACTTTTTTTCTCTATATGTGTTTTAAAATGCTATAYTTCTTCATTATATTTCAAAATCCTCCTGCTCAGTTGTCTCTGCACTCGCAGCCGTGCTGACACAGGTGCGATGACGTAACTGACGACAGGACGGTAGAGGGTAAATTTCTACCGTAGGCCAACTTCATATCATTTCTACTGTATCGCATWTACCGCGCAGCCAAAGTTTGGGAKTAATGTAATATTTATAAAACTGCACTCTGCAGTTTCCTGTCAGTGAGAATTCAATAGAACTATGACTGAGGTCACTTTGAGTGTATCTGAGTGTGTTTTTCCACTTGCGTATCACCTCTGAAATATGCATTGGTTTATTCTTAGCAGTTCTTCCACTCTTTTGGTTGTAACRCACTAAACCAGGAAAACAGCTACGAACACACAGAGCAGCTTTGCACCCACACAACACACTCAAGTCATGTTTCTGAGACAGTCGAAACAATGGGAATGATCTCAGTCGTTATGACGTTGGGGGGGGGGGGGGGGGCATTCCACAGCGATTACAGTGAGTCATTTCCTTATTCACACTCACTCACTTACACATCCTTTGATTCATTCAATTAAAATAATTAAACAAAAAGGACGCTAAAAACCATTACCCCATCTTCATCGTATTTTACATGTTAAAACTCCAGAGTTAAAATGCAAACATAAAGTCTCGATATGTTTATTGGTTAAACAGTTGTTGATTCATTGACTTTGCCAGCTCTGTATTATAAATAATCAAACCAACAGGAGCTTGGTGAGCGAGGCAAACCAGCTTTCTACCAGGGCAGAGTGGCCCGAGCCATCGTTGACGTCATCCTTCAGAATGGAGGGGTCATGACTTTGGAGGACCTCAGCAGCCATGATAGTGAGGTCGTCACCCCTATAAGCACAGAATACAAGGTCGACAGGCAACCTTATTTTAAAACCGCTTTAAGAAATTGGTGAGAAGACTGACATTGTTGTGTCTTCAGGGTTTCCGTCTGTGGGAGCTTCCTCCCAACAGTCAGGGACTGGTTGCCTTGTTTCTCCTCAACATCCTGGAAAACTTTCCTCAACTCAAAGGTAAGTCACAGTGAAAGGAGTTGTGTACAATGAGAACCCCAGTCAGGCGCAGGAAACAGCTCCAGTACTCAGCCTTGAACTTTTCTTCACATGCGTATAAGGATTATCACAGCGCTGTGGGCCATCCCTCCCGAGGGGACAGAATGGCACCTGGTCACACCCTGGATATGCTGTCATAATAAACAAAGACTTTAGACTGTAGACTTAAAACTGTTCTACATTCCTGAAATGTAAAACTTCGTGTTCATTTCTGGAGCAAAGCACATGAAAATAAAGACTTGTTATTTCTACGTTTAAAATTAGACATATCCTGCATTTAAATCCTTTTTCACATTTAAATCCTTCAGTTGAGGTCTATTTAAAGTGGAATTGCAATGCTTTGGTCTGAATTCCTCCTTACTGGACCTTTACAAGCCTCAGATCAACTCGTTTTGAGGCTTTCTCTTTAAATCTAAAAGAGGCGTTTCACACCCCGCCCCCCATCCAGCTTCCAGACCAGTCCATTCCAGTTTTATAGAAGGTTTACAACTATATATAGGAACATAAACTTTTTATTAACAATTGAATTAAAAGGTGTCAACAAGGGAAGACTTGTCCGCTCAGCCTTACATGTTGGAGCCAGAGTCTGACCCAGAACCAGAGGAGCCCTTAGCAAAAAGTAGTATACTTGAAGTTCATTTTAATACTTGAGTGTAAGTTTAAGTATATCAAGTATGCTAGGCACCATCCATCCATTTTCTCTACACGCTTATTCTTTTTCAGGGTCGTGTGGGTCACTGGTGCCCATATCCAGCAGTCACAGTGCGAGGGGCGGGGTACACTCTGGACAGGTCGCAAGTCCATCACAGGGTCAAACATAGAGACAAACGATTCAAACAACCATTCACTCTCTCACTCATCCCTAGGGACAATTTAGAGTTATCAATTAACCTAACAGTCATGTTTTTGGTCTGTGGAAGGAAGCCGGAGTACCCGGAGAGAACCCACGCATGCACGTAGAGAACATGCAAACTCTACCCAGAAAGGACCCCGGACTGGGATTTGAACCGGTGACGTTCTTGCTGAGAGGCATTTGCTCTACCAACTGAGCCACCGTGCCGTCCATGTACTTGTAGTGTACTAGAAATTATACTGATTTAATGCTTGTTCGTACTAAATTGGGACTTTTATTTTTGTTAATAAAAAGTATACGGTACTTTAAGTACTGTTATGATGTCTTTTGTTGGTTAATAAACTTGCAAAATTGCTTACAAAAAGAAGTATACTTTAAGTACATGTCATTAAGTATACTAAAGTATATAAAATTGTATTTCCCTAAGTGTACTTTTATTTACTATAGTTTACCATTATTTATCACTGATATAAGTATACTAGTCAGTGTTCCCCCTACCATTATACAGGCGGGGCGGCTCCCCCCGCCAACGAGACGGCCCGCCCCTCTAAGAATTTCACGGCATGTAGTCATTTTTATTTAAATAAGGCCAGATCAAGTCGAGAGCTATTTTTTTGCGTCCCTCCATATCCATCTCTCACCACAATTGGGGGAAAAAGACGGCACAGAGCGAGACTGAGCGCTGTGTGTGGTCCTCACAAAGATAGGAAGATGTGTGTGAGATTAGACGCGCAGCTCTGCTTTTAATCACGTTGCACCGATGCGACAGCTTTGCAAGCTACTTTTTCTTTCTTTAAAAGAAAATGTGACAGGTGAAGCCACAGCATGGTTACTACCTTATCAATAATAACTGCCTTTTTTTCTTTCTCTGTGGGTGGGGGGTCAGCTTCACTCAGCTGCAGGTGAACACCTGTGTTTATTTTGTAGCTGGAGGCCATAACAGTCCTGACTACATCCATGTATTGGTGGAGGCTGTGCGTTTGGCACAAACAGATGCTTTTCACTACCTGGGTGACCCAGCTCATGGGGCCGTCCCTTTGGAAAGCCTGCTGGATAAGAGCTACAGTCGCCAACGAGCGCAACGCGTCAGCATGAACAGGTGTGCGTTTGTGTGTGGCTGCTGGTACCACTTTGTACCAGTTGTTCTCTGTTGACTTTAGATAGGGCCGTCGACTTTTACTTCCTCTGACTCTAACGCTCATCTATGCTCTGTCTCACCTCTCACTTTCACAGGGTGTGAGCTCGTCTGCCCCAGCACACCATGTGTGTTTACTGGTTAGCTCTGTGTACTTTGAACTTTAAGGCTTTTATCAGTATGTTAAAAGACAAATAGATAATAAAATACAAAACAACATCATTGTGTATACATTTACACAAACTGAGATGTATTCTGATGTGTTGAATCTAGCTGGTATTTCTGTTAAATCCAACTCAAATTAATTTATTGACACCACATTTACCAGATTCTCGTAGCAATGGTCGTCACAACTTCGTCATTCAACAGCTGCTGTAATTACATGCTTACATCAAACAAGACAAGTGGAGAAAAACTAGAAAGCAGGAAATTACATTTAAATTTATTGCACTGCAATAATTTTCTTATTGTAAATGGAATAAGTGTCCGTCTGAAAAGGTGCTTTAAATACAAACACACCTCATTTTTACTGAGATGTTTTTTGGCAACAGCATTTTCCTGTGACATGCAAATTCTTTAAATACAAAAAGTGAAAGAAAACTTCAATATTTAAGAAACTTGGCCCGATACACACAATTTTACCCATTTCGTCACATAATTGGCATGTTTTCTTTTGTATTTAACTCAGCCAAAGTGAAAAGGGAAGTGACATCAAAGGGGAACTCTTTAAGAAAAATAACTCTCTGGTCTTTGTTTATGAAAACAACATTATTTGAACTCTAACACTTCTGCATTTCTCTCTGATAGTAACTCAAAATATTTTAAAGAAAAATCAAATTCTTCTCTGCAGTCTGTGTTGTTAGCCATTTCACTGACACTCTGTTTCTATGCAGACATTCCCCTTTGACATCACTTCCTGTTACTTCACAGTCAAATATCTGAACAACTGTTCATCCGAGCGGCTTGAAATTTATTTTGTAGTATGTTATTAATGTTTTCTTTTCAAAAATGCATTTGCATTTATTACTAAAATTTGATGTCACGGGCACTTTAAAACATAGTTTGTTTTATTTTGACAAAACACAATTTAAAAAAAAAACTCAAACCTTTGTGTGTGTGGCTCTGCAGGGCCATGGAGTGTGTGCGGCCCGGCTTGACCACAGGAAGTGACACCGTTTATTTCTGCGTGATTGACAGCCAGGGGAACGCATGCTCATTCGTGAACAGCACCTATATGGGCTTTGGAACCGGGCTGGTTCCTAAAGACTGTGGATTCTCACTACAGGTCTGACACTGTGAACGATAAAGCCTTAAAAGGTCCAACAAACGTGGACTTATCAAGTATTTCACGAGAGTTTGAACCATCTGTGCAGCTAATATATATGTATATATACTGTATATTTGTAACTGTTGCATGAACATAAAAATTGCAAATTTTGTTTTGCATTTTAACACCTTACAGTCCTGAACAGTGTCTTTGTTTTTGAGGCTAAAATGTCCCGTCTTTGAAGTTCTGAGCATTATTTTTAAGCAATGTAACATTTTCAGTATAAATGTCATTATTTTTCCGTTTAGAATCGCGGCGCCGGCTTTTCTTTGTGTCGCGAACACATTAATTGCGTTGCCGGAGGGAAGAGGCCGTATCACACCTTAATACCTGCCCTCCTCACCGACTCTTCAACCAAATCACAAAAGCCACAACTCCTCGCTGCGCTTGGTGTGGTGGGGGCTTTTATGCAACCACAGGGACACATTCAGGTATGCAGACATATGAAGAGCAGGATGTAGGACAACATGGCTAAATTTAATTAGTTTCCCGTTTATGTTATCGATCATTTTATGGTTAAGACTTCTTTATAAGAAGTCGCCAAATCAGTTTAAACATTTTCAGCTTTTATGTTAAGGTGCTGTTGAACATGGTGGAGTTTGGGATGAACCCTCAACAGGCTCTGGATGCACCAAGAGTCTTTGTGCACTACGACCCCAAAGGTTCATTTGTCACACAAAAATGACCCAAACCAAACTTTATCCAAATGTTATCTACTGAAGATCAGTCCTCATAGTTAGAAATAATAAAAAAGTCCTAAATGTTATTATTTCTTTGCAGCTGATGGGTGGTTGGTTAAATTAGAGGAGGGGATTGACCAGGAAGTGGCCGTGGAGCTTAGAAAACGGGGCCACATGGTCACCTGGCCCGTTACAGGTACGATTTTATTTATGTGTACAATTAACTGCTTTCAATGACTGATGTTTTGTGTGTCTTATTTGAATAAAACAACCAACTTTGCGCTGCTATTTTAATCCGACACAGAGTTATATACTGTAATTTGAAGCACAGCACATGTAGCCCTCTAAAAAGTTAATGTGTCACATTAATTATTATATTGATGCTCAGTCCAGTAAACAGTACCATCTCTAGAACAACACATTGTTTCATATTAGCTGTATTAGACCACAGTTTCCATAAGACCTTCCACTTCCTTTTGCAAATGTTTATATTTGTTCCTCCTTTCTCCTCTAGCTAAGATACGAGAGTTTTATTGCTTTTCTGAAAAGTGCTGCCAGACTGGGCGTGTTACAGACGTCAGCTGTTCAGTTCCTCACCTGACCTGAGCTGGTTGCATTCGTCCGCTGCTGAAAACAGCGATTCTAAGACCTTGTGTTCATAGACGATCCTCATTCATGATGCACGAAGTGGTCGAAGTGGCTTCAGCTCACATCACATAATTTAAACATACGAATGAGATGTTTAGGAAAATGTCAAAATGACAAAGTCAAAGGGAGGCTGTTAGTTTTTTGTACATCACATCAACATAATCAAGTAAAAGCATAAAGAAAACTTGAGGGATCAAACTGGATAAAATAACAGTTTGGCTCATTACCTTTTTCTTTTTTTTACACACAGGACACGGGCGGTCTGAGTTTGGGCGGGGACAGATTATCACAGTGGGGGATTGGTGGAACATATCTGTCACTCAAGACAGCTCTCCATCCAGGGTCCTGTGGGCGGGATCGGACCCCAGAGCAGACGGATGTGCTCAGGGATACTAACATTAGGATGAGATATTCAAAAGGCTAATATTGTGTTTCTCAGGCATGTAGTTCAATTCTATACCATAATAATGTAATTATGTCACCTTCAAAAAAAAAAGGATGAGATAGAATCAGAACACTTTTTTGTTGTTTTTCTAGTGCAAAAGTTTTATTTTTAAGCTTAATTATTCTGCAAAAATAATAATAAAAAATTGTTAATATTTGAAAGTTACGCATGATTAACTGATTCCTGGGTCTTAATAGTAAGATTGTACTTTCTTAAAGGGCCTTGTTCCATTGTTTTGGTGCTGATTGGTTGTTTCTGTTGTATCTTTACAACTCAAACATCTTCATGGAAGTAATTTTTGGCATAAAGAAGCAAAACCATATAAATATTAATGTAATTATTTCTTAATACTTTGATATGTTCAGAATATTTCACAGGTTATTATTGACCAAATGAAACTAAAGACTGTTGCAAACTAGTGAACTAAATAGGAGAATGAATCTTTTTGTATTAAATTGAATTCATGCTGAAATAGTTTTTCTTACTTGTACTTAAATCCTCTGATTTAGTTTTTAAAATAGTTCCGTTTACTTCAAAAATACATGATCCAAAATAACTTTAGCTAATCTCATGACGTGATGCCAATCAGCTTTTACAATTAAGATGTTTTGTTATTGATGGATACATCCACATAATGCATTCTTTTTCTGTGATTTTACACATTTATTAGCGGTTCAACGATACAAAAGATTCATGATTCAGTTCAGTTTCATACTTTAGTGTCACGGTTTGATAATTTTTCAATACAAAAAAACTTAACTTAAAAATTAGATTAACATTAACTGTATATCGGCTCGTCATCATTCAACGCTTGTTTTGTCAGTGAAGTGAATGTTGTGTTAAATTGCTTTAAATGACTCAAATTAAAGTTGATGTTTGGTGTCTGAAATAAACTATAAACTGTAATGAAGACAGATTATAAAAAAGTAATTTAATCTAAATAATGTAATTTAAATCAGGGATGGGCAACTGGTGGCCCGCAGCTGACTTCCAACCGTCCCACTAATGTTAGGGGCGCAGTGATACAGAAAATTCACGATTCGGTTTGATATTTTAGTCTCACGGTTTGATTTTTTTTTTTGATACAAAAAAGAGAAATTTCCATGCCCTTATTAACTTGTAATTTATTGAAATGTAACATGAACATTTTTTTAACCTCAAAAACAGTTTTTAAATTAAATGTTGCTGAAACAACAAGTTTCTCAGTGGATCTGTGCTCAAAAATGCAGCCTAGGTAGAGTAGTCGAACCCAGATCTACTGATCCTTCAACACAGAGCATCTTCAGAAGAGAAGCTGATAAAAATAAACATTAAAAATCTGTATTGTTCCATACATAGTGTGTATTAAACCTAAAACACTGTATTGAACGATTTGACACAGATACGTATATTGTTGCACCCCTGTAAGTTTATATGTCAAATAAATTAAATTGTGACTGCGTATTTTAAATGCTCTCTTCTAATTCATATCTTTTTCTAAACTGCATGAAATTTCAGTCCCTGGATCTGAATCGTTGTGTTGTTTTCTTTTGTAAATTGGTTATTTTTCTCGTAAATGAGCTCAGGATACGTGCAGCAGTTTAACTGTGAAAAATACAGCTGGGAAACAGCTCGTTGACCACGTGTGCCCAGTAAAACTCACACTCTCTCCGCTTCAACACAAACGTTTTTGACGTTGGACTTTGTTATAGCTTTAAGCCCCTTACAGCTCCACACTGACCCTGGTACGACCCGTTTTTCTCTCATAAAGGCCCGTGTGTGTCCTGTCACCCAAACACATTTCCTGCTTTACGTAATCTACCTCAGTGGTGTCCAAAGTGTGGCCAAATGGCCCCTGAACTGATTTTGTGTGGCCTCTTGACTTCAGTTCAAGAATTATAAAATTTGCCAAATTTGTCCACAGGTGTTTGATGTAGATGGAGACTTTCTATTTTTTATTAGGACAAAACAAACACAGACAAAGTAAAATCTTCCAATAACAAATACTGGCATCAATGCCAACTATTTGTCTTTAAATGCTCTTAGCTTTTTCCACATCTATTTATTGACTTCTACTGAAAAACTGATTTTGCTGAACTCCAATCTGCTTTTAAATAATTTATTAAATTTGGCTGAATACAGTAAGCATTTTCAACAAAAGAGTGACATAAATCCTGATTTTATTGATCAGAATTGACTAAATTGCCCCCTCCCCCCCCCAATTAACACCTAGACAATTGCCAAAATTCTTTAAATAAATAAATATTTTAAAGTTCTTGATCTAGATTAATTAAATTTGTTTAATCAAAGTATTTAATGCTTAGTTTATTGTTGAGTAGGTAAAGGAAAAAATATTTTTGGCCCTCCGGTCCTGCTGACTTTATGATTTTGGCCCATGTGACAAAATGTTTGGACCCCCCTGCTCTGCCTGAATCAGAACAATTTGTTAGATGTGGGTTTTTATGATGGTTTGCAGTTTATTTGGATGTGCTAACCTTCCAGCTTGATTCTAAAATGTGTTGGTTTTTCTAAAACATGCAACACACACACACACTCACCGTCTCTGCTGTTATAAGTCAAATTTAGAAGCCTTGTGACCCACTGCTCTACAAAGAACAATAACAATACAGACAACAATGGAAAAAAGTCATAGTAGTTTGTTTTAATTATTTTTAAGGTTGTGTTCATAGTTTTATGATATTTGTGGCCGAGCACTTTATTTGTCACACACCCCTCGCTTCCTGTGAATGTTTCCTCAAGCACGTCGCGCCAACTGTTCCACACTTTCTCAGAAACAGCAGCACACACACATTTTTTAAAGGTTTCCTGCCTCCCCAGCTGTTCTGGCCCTTCCCTCCTCTCTGTCTCTGCCTCCGTTTGGCCCATTCCAGCTCCGCGCTCCGTTCCTCCTGGTTGTGATTCGGGGATTCTGTGAGCGATGTGTTATTCTGTGGGATTCACCCGCTCTCTGGGCCTGGCTCTGCTGCCTCTGGCGCTCTGCTGCATCGTCGCCAACCTGCTGCTGCTGTTTCCTATGGGAGAGATCACCTACATCCAGCAGGATCGCCTGGCCAGCTACATCTGGTTCTTTGGTGGACTAGGAGGTGGAGGACTGTTGGTGAGTTAAATAAAAAAGGGATCAGCTATATTACACTAGAGTTGGACGTTTGGGTTGATAAAACCGAGTTCTTTTTTAAGATTTCTGGAGGCAGCATCTCAACTGTGAGATTGATTTGGAAATTTATATTCAAGAGTTGAAAACTGATTTGACAGTGGGACCTTATCATGTTTTCTTGAAATCTAACAAAAATTCACCAGTTAAAGCAGAGGTTCTCAAACTGGGGTCCCAGGACCCCCAGGGGTCCACAAGCCCTATCTTGGGGATCCTCAAAAATTTTCAATAAATGATTATTTTGGATTTAATTTGAACAAGGAACATGAGGAACAATGTACTAGTAAAACAAACATACTAAACCAAACAAAAACATAATATTCTCATAATATTTAGGGGTTAAAATGACAGTAAATTATTTCTAAAACAGCATGGGGTTTATGAGGGGGTCCCTGGAAATTTTTCACACTTGTAAGGGGTCCTCAGACCCACAAAGTTTGAGAACCCCTGGGTTAAAGTAAATATGTGAGAGTGATGATTGAATGTTCAAGTAGTAAACAATTATAGGGGGATTAAAACACTACATTTAGTAAAAACAGAAATTCAGTCCAGTGCATTTCAATAAGGTTCACTTCTCAACCAAATAAAAAAAATATAATGAATGTGTTCTTTGAAAGGATTTCAGCCATGTGACTCTGAACAAGTACTGAAATCCTTTCAGCCACTTCAGCAGTCCTCCTCCCTTCCTGCCACCGTCAGCAGAGTATATAGCTGGTATACGCAGTTGTGTAAAATGATTTTAAATCTAAATGTTTCTCAGGCTAAACTGCATCTCCTTTAGCTCCATTCTGAGAGAGTTGTTAGTCGAGAACAAAAGCCTGGTTTGTGAATCCACAGTTAATCTGTCTGTTCTGCACACTGCTGATCTGATTGCTTTACCCTCGAAACTCAAAGGAGTTATTCTATTACTTCACTTATTATGGAGCAACAAAGGAGGGATTGTACTTTTAAAAAACTAAAAGAAAACGTTAGCCAGTAAAACACACTGCAAAAAATGTCCACTTAATCAAGTTTTAAAATCTTATATCAGCCAAAAAGTCTTTTTGATCTTGTTTTGAGACTGATTTACTAAACAAGAACTGATTGTGTAAGAATAATCATCTTGTTTTCAGAATGTGTCAGATTATTTGTCTTGTTAGTCTGAAAATTTGACTCAAATTGAGTCAAAATTTTCTAATAATGGAGTAAGAAAATTTTACTTGGTAAGATTCTTGAAATACTTGATTTGACTCAGTTTTTTCTTATTTCAAGAATCTTACCAAGTAACATTTTCTTACTCCATTGGCAGAAATTTTTGACTTAATTTGAGTCAAATTTTCAGACCAACAAGACAAATAATCTTACACATTCTGAAAACAAGATGATTATTCTTACACAATCAGTTCTTGTTTAGTAAATCAGTCTCAAAACAAGATCAAAAAGACTTTTTGGCTGATATAAGATTTTAAAACTTGGTAAGATGGACAGTTTTTGCAGTGTAACTGCTCATGACTGATTATTCTTCAGATTAAAACAACTATACGCTGAGAAAAAGCAGTAAATATATTTTTGCGCCCCTAGACTGACAGCTCCCTTACTGTTTGCCTATATAGCCTGTGCTCCAACATGTAGGGCAGTGGTCAGTTGAGTAAAAGTCTCTAGAAATGTCTAAATATTTAAAGCATCACTTGCTGTGATGTAAAATAACTCAGAGTTTGTATTTTACATCCAGCCTGTC